GCTCTATAGAAATGCATTCTAAGTGGCGCTATAAAATTTGCATCTCAGTGTTCGGCCATTCTAGAGGAACTTGAGTCTTTTCGAAATTACGAGGAATTCAGAATTATTTGCCCGAAAATTTTAGATGCAATTTAACGTATTACGAGGGAGATAATTTTTCAGATACCTTCTTTCATCACATTTTTGAATCAGAAAATTTTAGGATTCCATTTTACTCTCTACGAAAAGTAGCCTAACCCTGTGAGTGAAATGTGAAAAATTAAAAGTTGGATGCCCTTGAACAGAACTGTGAAAAACAACAATAGGTCTAATTGCAGCAGACTTTCTTGTACATTTCCTAGCCGTTGATTTCCATGACTGCAATGTGAAACGTGCAGAAAACTTCCTGCTTTTCACTTTTTATCGAGAAAATGTGGTACATGTTCTTGTTCACTTTTTCCACTGCCGCTCATTTCTTTTAGCTCCGCTATAAGATTCGCATCTGTTCGGTGCTCCTTGGGCAAACTGGATCTTTTGAAAAATTACAAGGGCTTCAATATTATTTTCCCGATTGATTGACCTGGAAGCAATAGAACCATCCCTCCCATAGCAAGTGCTGCATTGTTGCGCGAACGCGGTCGCTAAGCTTGAATATTCACGTCGCGTATTATACCTGGTCGGTTGCGGTCATATCGAAGCGTAAAGGTCAACAGTGGTTGTTGATGAGCGAGCAATTATTGTGCAGTTGCGATGGGTTTTGTGGAGCAAGCGAGCCAGAAGCAGGAGCACACGTTACCTGCAGATTAGCCGATGGTTATTTGGAGCGGATTCGTCGATTATTCTCGAATTTATAGCGCTTCGTGTGAAGGCGCGTGGGGATGGTCTGTTTGTTTTGTAGCCAGCCTTTAATTCTTCTTTAGTGGATAGTACCTACAATTAGTCCGGCAGCAAATGTCATGAAATAAAGTCCCGTGGGAATTTCGTGAAGAAAGCAAGCCACTAGTCTAAATGTGTTAAGGGGACCCTAAATAACATGAAAAGTTTTGGTGGCAACTTTGTAACTTGCTCAGACGGGATTTATATGGGGTGGAAAATGTCATGTGTATATCCCAGCATGGAAACGAGGCTCAAACATAAAATTGTCCACAGCTTTCCATTATTTCCGTAAAACTTTATCAAAATCACCACATTTGTGCAAATCAATGTTTCCAATATGAACATACGATTTTAAGAGGTTATTGGGTCACGTGACCAAGTTAGCACGAAAACGAGGCTCTCTCAAAAGCTGCACTGGTAACACTTAAATTTCTCCTGATAAAGGCAGACATTGACAAAAGTAATGCAGGTGAATATCATCTGTGCAATCAAATGTAATTATTTGGTAAGGGTTATCACGTGACCACGCTGGCATGAAAACGAGGCTGATACAAAAGCTGTACTGAGGGGCAAAAAACATTACAAAAGAATGATGTATAAAGTATGTTAATAGATAACACCTTTGCATTCGAACATGTTTATAAGGCAAGAGTTTTTAGAATGGTGCACTTAATAACTTTCTACAACCACAGAACTTAGCTGTGACTTTATTTTCAACAAAAAATAAATCAGAGAATTGGATTTCCTGAGGTGCACACGTGGAAGAGGGCCTGGACCGTGTTTCCACTACTTTTAGTCAGCAGTAGTTATAATTAGAATAGAGGTCAGCTATCCTTACTTACAGAGAATGTAGCGAGAATGGCTATGGAGTTTCCTCGCTATACAGGCATTACATTTAAATTGTGCATTATCTGCCAGACACAAACAGACGAAGAACTTGTAGAAAAACCCGTTTCACACAAAAAACAATTCGATGCAATTCAGGAAAGATCTCATTATGGAAATGTGAAGTTCGCCGAGGTGCGGTCCTTTTTGAAAGGCTTTCCATTTGAAGAACTAGTATCAAGGCATAGAACTTGTTATCAAGAAACAACACATTCAGGCATGATAAAAAGAGCTAAAGAAAGGTATGAAAAAGAACTGTGTGGTCCGAATGAGGGAAGGTGATAATCATGTGATTTGTCACTGGAAGCTAAAAAGCCACTAACACGTTCGAAGACATCGCCATACAACCGAGATGTGTGTTTTCTCTGTGACGGTGAGGGAGGATATCGCCAGCCACTACACACTGTCAGTACATTGTCTGCAGGTACAGTGAAACCTGTATTAAGCGGATACCCTCGGGGAATGCTGTAGTGTCCGCTTATACAGGGTGTCCGCCTAAAACAGGTCTCGATAGATAACATCATATGAGATGTCAAATGCCATTCAAATGAACAGTGGAAATGTTAAGAATACTCCCAGAGACTTTGATGATATACGTTTGCATTAATTTCTTTAACAAAGTGGACCAATAATATTATTGATCATAGTACCATAAACATAGACTGAAACTCAATTTTGAAGAAACCAGATGAGTGAAACAAGCTCTATACAAACAAAACGAAATAGAAAACAATACTGTACTGTGAAACTAATCAAATAA